ACTAGAGAGATGAATGAATCGTTTATTAACTCAATTATTGCAGTACTAAGACTGAATTACAATTGGTTGGTATAAAATTTATAAATACATAGTAATAATGTTTAAAAAAATTGTTATATATATATATATATATATATAGTGAAATGTTGCTGATAACAAGATACAAGTGTTGTATATAGAAAAGGTTTCAATGTGCAACCAAAAGAGACATTTATAACGTAAAATAGAATAAAAGCCACTCAAATTTTGCACAAACGTTTTCGCTTTAATGTTAGCTCCTCAGGTGCATATTTACGATGAGTGGAATTTAGTTTATCTATTATCTACGTTCTATGATATCATATTATAATAACTATGTTAGGAATGCATATATTTACATGGTGTGAAGTCACCCGTTAAAAACATTCTATTGATCTAAATGTGAGCATAAACTTAATGGTTTTTTAATTAGCGTTCAGATCCGGATTCAGTATATTGATAAGTTCTTTTTCTTTCATCTCCCTAAAAAGTCTGTCCGTGTTAATGCATTGATATATAGGCATTATTTTGAAAATTCCGTTGTTACACATATTTAAGTGTTCGCTTACTTTTAGATGTCTATATATACTCTTCGTGTCGAATTTGTTCCTTGTGCAATGTCACTCTTTTTCGTAAGTTTTCTGTCTGGCCGACGTAGAAGCTGTCGCATTTTGAGCAAATGATCACGTAAATGACATATCTCGCTTTGCAGTTCATCGTTGAATTGACTTTCCAGGTTTTTCCGCTCTTTAATGTAACAGACTTTCCTGTGATTAAAACATCGCATGCTCCACATCGCTTTTCCTCGCATTTTGTTACACAGTGTTCTCTGTCCTCTGAATTGAATTGTGCTTTTGTCAAGTATCGCTTCAAGTTCTTCGGTTGGCGTTTGCTTACAATGAGTTTTGTTCTGTCTAATACTCGTTTCATTTTCTAGGAATTGTTTAGAAATTTAAAGTTCTCCCTTATTTTTCCAATTACTTGAGGATTGTTGGGATTATGAGTTATTACTAAAGGCAAGACATTGTCATCAGTTTTATGTTTTGGTGCCCTCAATTCGTCAATGTTTTTTGATGAAGCCTTCTGTATTCCGTTTTTTATAAGCAATTTCGGATAGTTCTGCTTTTGTAGGAAATATTCTAGTTCATCAAGACGCTTCTTCTTTAAATCTTGATTTGTTACAATTGCACAGATCCGTCTTGCCATTGTGTAGGGAATGTTTGATTTTGTATGTCCAGGATGACATGAATGATAATCCAGATATTGGTGTGTCCCCGTTTGTTTGTAATGTATATCACTTTCTAACCGTTCCGCGTTCTTGTAGAGTAGTATATCCAAAAACGGTAGTTTCTTATTGTCATATTCCATCGTGAACTGTATTTTTGGATGAAGTGAATTTAACATTTTATGAAGTTCCTCGAGTTCTGCTTCAGTCTTCTGCCAGGGTAGAAAGCAGTCGTCTAAGAAACGTTTAAACAATTTCACGAAGTTTTCTTTTTCGTCCTGTCCATACTTTTCCTTGAACCTTTCGTACAGTTGTGTCTCAATGAAACCCATAGTTAATGTGGCGTACGTTGGTGCCATTTTAGTGCCCATTGCTGTTCCTTGTATTTGTAAAAAGAGTGACATTGCACAAGGAACAAATTCGACACGAAGAGTATAGACATCTAAAAGTAAGC